TTTCTGAGGTAAGTCATGTTTATGATAAAAACACATCATCTACTCCGATCCAACAGAAGACAAGAATGCCTGGTCGTTTTTTGGATCACGATGCTGTTTCTGTACACCGGAATCCACTTGGAATATTCTTCTCACCTGATTTCTTTCTTGGACCAACTTCCTCGTACATCTCCTCGATGTACTGTCGATGAGTTGATGTATCTGGAGCCGCTTCTAGTCTATTAAATACGTCAACTATATGCCCCTTGTCGTGATCTACGCGCCCAACTGTGTTGTTTGCTGTGCTCTCAATCACCTTAAAAACAAAAAATTGTGCACTATCATGTTTCATTCCTGCAGTTCACTAAACACTGAACGACATCAGCTTGTATTGTGAATTCACAATGTAATATCTTTTTATTTTATATTCTTGACGATCCCATAATGCATTGTATTTTTTGACTACATTGATCGGAATTAATAAAAATCAAATCAAATATTTGTGGATAGGGTCAATATCACTTTGAAGCGAAGTACCTTTAGCTTCCAACGATTGAATTCATACATTATAAGCTCGTTTTTATAACTGAGAAATAATTTGTTTCAGAATAGTCCTGAAGAATTTCAAGTTTTTTTATTCAGATTCTGTTGGGTGCCCTTGAACAGGATGAATTCGTCAGCAGCTTGTCGATGGTTAGGGTTGCAAACCTTTTTGAACAGGAAAAATGTTCTATATCGTTAAGAAAAATAGAGAAAAAAATGACTCATTCTGCAAAATTCCGTCAACCAAATCATAAGACTTAATATACGGTTTTCCTGATTTTTTGATTATTTTCGAACTATTTTATAAGTTTTGTAGATTTTGTTGTTTTCGCAATAATAATAAGTTTTTCCCACACCTTTCCAAAACAGACTATAAAACAGAAACCGATTTAAAACATACAACCGTCGCAGACCGTTTAATTTTGCCGGAGTTTTCGTATAAAGACAAACTTCGTCGCGACTTAAATTCGTTCCGATTTGTCTTGGCAGCCGTCACAAAATGTCCTCCTTATCGGAGAAATTGATAGAAAGGGTACGCGGTGCTTTTGTGCCTGCCATGTTATCCCGGACCCTTTTTTATCTGACTCGACAATAGTACTCTCAACGGACTAAAGTATAGCAAACGTTCGTGTCACGTAAAGCCTGCAAGATATTTCCCGATATTGACTCAATGAGACCAGTTTCCTTGATACCCTGCCTTGCGATATAATTTCTTCACAATAAATAAAAAGTGACGTCATGAAACAACACTTGCTATTCCCCACTCATTTTTGAGTTCTTACCTGCGTAGCAGAAAATGAAAAGTATCTGCTAATAATATGGGCAGAAGTTTGCTTAATATTTTAAGTACCTGAAGGGCCGGGTTTAGGGCCCTTTCTTTTTATTATACAGGCTGCTCCATAATGAATGCGAATTATCGATATAAACAATTGGATTCTATTTTTTAGCTAATTTTTTGATGCTTATCTCAATTTCGAAATTGGTTAGTGAAAGGTTCGTTTGCTTTTGAAGATCTAATAAATATACAAACTTTTATTGAAAATTTGATTTGGTTATATACGGGGTGCAACAAAGTTATAATCTATCTTAATGAGCGACTTTTTCAAAAATCATCCAAATCCAAGTCAATATCCCGAAAGCAAATTGAACTTTGCAATATAATAATTTTAAAAACTAAACTTTTACACTCCCTATTTCACATTATAATAAGCTCAAATCAGAAACCGGCATCAAATTTTACGCAGTTGCAAAATACCTGGAAACTCCAGTGTGGATCTGAGATTACCTATTTAGTGGTCATTTTTTTATATAAAAGTTTCTCTTCTTTCTTGTGAGAAATTTCCAAATACATGTTGTCTAATTATATTTGGGTAATACAGAAAACATCAAATTTCCTACCTCATCAGAAAGCTTGCTCAGCTCAATGTGAAATAGACATATCATTTCGTATTTTTGTGTTTAAGACTCTTTACTTTCCAAATACTAATGAACCTCAATGAAAATTGATGGACGGGCCTTCATCTTGTCGCATTAACACAAGACATAAACAAAATTTTACCGATTCCCACACATACTACTGCTTCGTGTCAGAGACATTTTTTAATTAACGCTACTAAATTATATAAAATCTTCAATTCAAATACAAATTATAAACATTTCTTTTTATGAATAAATAATAATAATTGGGTCTTGCTTCAAAACACATACCCCAACGCTTGCCTAGAGATTCGTCATCCAAAAAAGAGAAAACATTTTTTTTTTTGGTTGTCGAATCTCCAGCCTAGCGATGGTGCATGTTTTTCAAGACTGCAGGTATTTAAATGGTTTTACCTAGTAGGATGCAATATGCATTTCATAGATGATTTTTATATAAAAAATCCTTGTTAGTGTCTAATAGCTCATTTGGATTGTTTACTTCAATATTTTTTATACTTTTTTTTGCAAAACCTATAGCACTCAAATACAGTTTTTTTATGTCTCTATTACTATGTATTGGATGTTTTCTGGTTGACTATGAGTAACAGTTATGCTAACCATTTTTGTAACAGTGATTGAAATTTTCTCTTAGTAAAGTTCCATTGAATTAAATTGTATTGAATTTGACCCTAGTCCATTATTAGATATCAGGGTTAATTTCAAGTCAATTTTTGACATAGCTAAAACTTACGTTAATCTTTTCTTTAATATATGTATTTTATTTTTTATTTTTGCCTATTTCTTTGTATTTACATCTGCCTATCCGTTTAATTTTGCTGCCCCTTTAATATAATTTATTTATTTATAATATTTTTTTATCATATTTCTAACCAACCCACTGCAAAAACTGGTGTGGTAAATGGTATAAATCTCTTGGTGTCAGCAGTGGGGTTCACATTATATATTTATATATTTCATCAAGAAATTTTACAACCATAAAAGTGGCGACATATTCATGATTTTTTTACACTTCCCATATTTCATTTAGGAAATATATATCTTTTTTTCTACTAATTAATATTTCTTTCATGCCTGTTCATTTTTCAAGCGACTCTCATATTTTAAGCCCGCCTATTTTGGTGTTAGCTGTGGGGTTGTATAAATTTTTTCGCTAAGAAAAAGTTCTAATTATTACGGAAATTTGTTGTATTTCGCAACAGTCAATACAGTAGCGATGCCTCAAAATTATCTAAGGGAAAAAAAGCACACACGAGGGGCTAAGACAAAAACCGTCAATCCGCAACAACGTTAGATAAATGTAAACACGGCGCCACCGCCTCCGAGAGAAACTTAGAACTTCCGCAAGCCCCAACTTCGAACTTCCATTGTAAACTTTCAATATTCGGAGGGTATTTTCGAACGGCAAAAACAACGTCGTTACTAAATCCTCCGTCTCTTTTTCGATAATCGCATGTTTTTCATTCACTCTTTATTATATCGTTGGTTATTTGTTTTTAACAAAACGCATTTAAATAAGGGAAGAATATGAACTCTGTGTATTTCTTTTATATCTCCAAATTTTAAGAGAAAAATTTGCGAATAAATTAATTAATGAAATTAGTTCCTATAATACGGGATATCTCTCTATTACCTTATATATTTTATTTCTATCAAGTTTTTAATTCTTTTAAGTTTTCCAACTAGTTAACTTATTAACTGATTAATTTAAAAAAATTGAAACAGTAGATATTTTAAACAGGTAAAATGGTAAATGGAAACACAAGAATCGTCCTTTAAAATATTAGTTCTTAAAGGTGATTTGTCTTCCAAAATTAACGTTATATTATTTCCAAAGATGTAAAACTTCGTTTTTTAAAAACCTAATATTATTGTACAATCTGGACTCATTCTCAACAGTTTTTTTGCTATTTAACATTTTCTTGGTTTTATTTACTTCAAGCTAACCAATTTTTGTTTTGGATTTTTTGATGTCTTTCATTGATTATTATTTTCTAAATTAGATTTCCCTGTTTCGGTTTCATGTGCCAATTGCTTAAAGCACCACATTAAAATAAGACACCCTTGAAAATAAGTCAAACATTTAAATATTTAAAATTTAGGCTCTAGACTAGAAAATTCAAAGACTACAAATCTGGTGCTCTAGGTGGTCAGTCTACAGTCATTGGTTAAAATCAATGTTAATTAGAAAAAACCTTGGATTTGTATAGACTTTTATTAGAAAATATGAAATAACAAGATTGAAAATAGGTATACGGAAAGGAGTAGTCAATTGGTGTAGAAGTAAATTTTGCATCTCACCATGCAATAGTTATAGCCAGTTAAAATTCTTATTAAATTAGAATATTGTCTTGGACACTTTTTCTCTTACAAAACTTAACTACCTAAATATACATTTAAGATACCTTAGGTAAGATACCTATTTAGTGATCACCGAATTACAATGACGCGCATGCTGAGCATAAAGATTACTGGCGGAAAATCGAACAAATCCACGCACAAGCCTTCGAGATTACATTGAATATTAGTAAGGATAAATCCGTCACATAATCAAGCCCTATAAACCCGTCACCTATAAGTTTTTATGTACATTAAAAGATGGTGATGAAAATAAAAGATTAGATGATTATTATTGGGCCATGTTTACTGATTAAGATACATTCACCACCAATGGAGTTGTATCACCTCAACATTGTCGATACTGTGCGACTGAATCATAATAATAAAATAAAATTAGGTTAGAAACTTTTGACAAAATTCAAATTATTTAAAGCACCTTAAGCTATTAAAAAGTTTATCGAAGCTCACACTTATTTTGACCGTGGAATTAGAAAAATCAATAACCCATGTGTGTCCCATTAAAGGAAAAATGCAACTCCGATACCACTGGGACCACCTCTACTACGAAAGTCATTTTAAAAGGTACCTTCACACATTGCAATAGTAAAACTTGTTCAAAACTTTTAAAAACGTGGTGTGGTGGATGCATTGCTCGAGAAAATTGAACAAAAACTGCTACAACTTGCCACGCGCGTCACTCAAAAATGACAGCGATCGAAGAGGCTCCCGTCCAAGACGAACAGGTGAAGGTGTTCGTGAGAATTCGGCCCTTGCCTCACGGAACCACTAACGCGGTTACAGTGACCCATGACAACATAGTCCGGGTGTCCAAGGAGAAAGCCAAGACCTTCCGGTTCAGCAAAGTGTTCGACGAAAACGTATCCCAGCTGGGGGTGTACCAAGGGACGGCGGCCTCGATCGTGGACCGCGCCCTTGGAGGTTACAACGGAACGATCTTCGCCTACGGTCAATCGGGGTCCGGGAAAACGTACACCATGTTCGGCGACCTCACCCGGAGCGACCTCAAAGGCATCGTACCGAACGTATTCGCTCACATCTTCACCCGAATGTCGCTGGCCGGTGCCGACACGTCCTCCATAATCACGGTGACCTTCGTCGAGATATACAACGAAGAGGTTAGGGATTTGCTGAGCGCTTCACGACAGAAACTGGAGATCAGAGAGGCTGCGCACCTGGGGGTGTACGTGAAGCACCTCTCCGGCTACACTGTGGAATCGATGGAGAAGGTTTTGGAGATGATAGATACTGGCAATCGAAACCGCTCGACGGGATGTACGAAACTGAACGATCGCAGCTCGAGATCGCATGCTATTTTTACGGTTCTGATAGAAACGAGACGTCCGGATGGAGCGACCACCTTCGGAAAATTAAACATGGTCGATTTGGCCGGCTCCGAAAGAGCGGATAAGAGTGGAGCTTCGGGTGACAGACTACGCGAAGCCGGCAAGATAAACATGTCGCTTAGTGTTTTAGGACGAGTTATCTCTGCCTTGGTGGACCTTCTCACGTCCCCTACCGCAACTCCAAACTTACCAGACTACTTCGAGACTCTTTGGGAGGTAACTGTTTCACCGCTATGATAGCCACCGTGAGCTCAAGCGCCGACCATTCCGAGGAAACGTATTACACCCTGATGTATGCCGATAGAGTGAAACATGTAAGGAACCGCGTGACGCAGAACCGCAGCGGAGTGGGCGTTTTGGAGGAGCTCCAGGACAAAATTACATCATTGCGGAAACAGCTGAGATCGCTGAACTTACGCGAGAAGCGACGCAGTAAGAGCCTAGGCGACTTCAGGGAGATATTGGAAATTGAAAAGCAAAAGGAGGCACTCTTGGACAGAATGTTGACCATTCAGAGGAAGATACTGGTGGGGGGCGAGAATTTAATGGAGAAAGCACACCTGCAACTCGAGCTACTCGACGACGCATCCAAGGAGCTGACGCATCTGGACAGCTCCCATCAGCTTTTACAGGAGTTGTTGAACAAGAAGGGCGAAGAGGTGAAGCTCGTGGGTAGACAGTGCTCTACGCTCGAAGAGCTGGATAAACGTTTGGACTGTGAACTTAAAAAAGCTGAGAGAGTTGTGGACAAGGCAACGTCGTTATTGCTCGAGAAAGAGAGCGAGTATCAGAACGAGATCGGCAGTTTGCTGTATACCAACGAGTGTTTGGCCAAGGATATGGGCCTGATGAGGTGCTTAATCGAGAACAGCATCGGCAAAGAGCACAGGGATAAGCTGATGGAGAACGTGACGTTCGACGATGACGCGGGCGATTGGAAAATGAAGTTTGTAGCGAGCAGCGGGAACAATCTGAAGAAAAGGCGGGCGACTAATAAGCAATAATAAGCAAGCGGGCAACCCTAGAAAAACGGAAGACGTCTACCTCGTTTACCAAAATAAATAGCATACTATTTTAGTTGGAGCTTTTTTCGTTCTTTTTGCGTTCGCGGTGACCACTGAACTGAATACTCGAAATTCGCAATTATCAAATTAAAGTTTGGCAAAAGGTTACGAGTCCACCACCGCATGTAACCTAAACTAAATGTCCCTAAAAATTGCGCCTTTCGGGGATAAATTATTTTTCATAAGTAAAAATCCGTGACAAGTGGAGTAATTTGGTTTAAAGTATCGAATATATCGAATAAGATCCCTCCACTACTACCATTTTCGCATTTTATAGGAATTCGCGGAAAATAAACTTCGCGTATATCTTTTAGGTCGCACGAGAAATTTTAAAATATCCAGCTCTTCGGGGTGTGCTTATTTGAAAGCAACATAGGATAGGAGAAAATCTCTTTAAAAACACTTCGAACACTTCGGAGCGCGAGCATTGAAGATGCCAAGTGAGATTTTGGCGAAACGTCTGCAGGATTCCAGTCGGAGTTATATATATATATATATATATATATATATATATATATATATATATATATATATATATATATATATATATATATATATATATATATATATATATATATATATATATATATATATATATATATATATATATATATATATATATATATATATATATATATATATATATATATATATATATATATATATATATATATATATATATATATATATATATATATATATTATATATATATATATATATATATAATATATATATATATATATATATATATATATATATATATATTATATTATATATATATATATATATATATATATATATATATATATATATATATATATATATATATATATATATATATATATATATATATATATATATATATATTCGTGTTCGAAGTGTTTTCGGAGCGCGAGCATTGAAGATGCCAAGTGAGATTTTGGCGAAACGTCTGCAGGATTCCAGTCGGATGCAGGATTTGCAGGATTCCAGTCGGATGCAGGATTCCAGTCGGAGTTCAACGAGCGAACGGATGATATCCCGGAATATAGTGTCATCATATATATATATATATATATATATATATATATATATATATATATATATATATATATATATATGATGACACTATATTCCGGGATATCATCCGTTCGCTCGTTGAACTCCGACTGGAATCCTGCATCCGACTGGAATCCTGCAAATCTTGCATCCCACTGGAATCCTGCAGACGTTTCGCCAAAATCTCACTTGGCATCTTCAATGCTCGCGCTCCGAAAACACTTCGAACACTGTTTTCGGAGCGCGAGCATTGAAGATGCCAAGTGAGATTTTGGCGAAACGTCTGCAGGATTCCAGTCGGATGCAAGATTTGCAGGATTCCAGTCGGAGTTCAACGAGCGAACGGATGATATCCCGGAATATAGTGTCATCACATTTTTCCATCCGTGAATCAATACGTGAGAATATATATATATATATATATATATATATATATATATATATATATATATATATATATATATATATATATATATATAGCAACAAGATCCATCAGTTGCTGTGGGACCGCGTAGAATTATTAACATCATGGCGCACTGAGAAAGACAAGGACATCACGTCAAAAAAGCTCCATATTCCAAAAAATCAGGACAATTGCCAAATACAAACCGAAGCAGTACAGTTCATAATATTTCAGCATACCATCTTTCCGATACAGAAGTCAGCGTACTGAATAAAGGATTCATCAATAAACGAAGATACAAAGAAGAAACTTATTCCGAGGGAAAAATCGAGTCGTTGCCCAAAATTCTACGGGCTCCCAAAGATCCATAAGGACGGGGTTCCCCTGCGTCCAATCGTAAACGCCTTTAACTCACCATTATGCAAGCTGAAAAAACATCTGGCCAGTGCACTTCAGCCCATAGTGGAAAAGGCAGATTCCTATGTTAAAGACTCAGAACATTTCACTCAGATTTTAGGTTCTCTCAGGATGGACAAGGACGACATTATGGCAAGTTTCGATGTCAAATCCCTCTACCCGAGCATTCCGGTAGAAGAGGCACTCTTGCTTATAGAAGAAAACGAAGATCTTCCGCCGTACATAATAGATCTGTCAAGACATTGCCACGCTTACTTTATGTACAACGGAAAAATTTACCGACAAATAGATGGAGCAGCAATGGGATCATCTCTCTCACCTGTGATTGCCAACCTCTTCATGATTTACTTCGAAAAGAAAGCAATAGAGAAGGCAAATCTGAAGCCAAAACTATGGACAAGATACGTTGATGACGTATTTGTTGTATGGCCTTTTGGCAAGGAGGAGCTTTTGAAATTCCTAGATCACCTGAATTCCATTCACCCAAGGATTCAATTTACAATAGAACTTGAAGAGGATAACAGTCTGCCCTTTTTAGATGTGCACATCACAAGGACCGAAGATGGACATTTGGAACACACTGTCTATAGAAAACCAACACACACTAATAGATATCTGAACGCTAAATCTCATCACCACCCATCACAGATACAGGCAGTGACAAATACATTAATTGCTCGGTCCTTCAGGCTCACAAACGAGAGGAACAGAGATGAAGAACTGAAAAAAATTAGTACCTGTCTTCGACAAAACGGATTCCAAAGGCGCATCATCAGCAATGCAATCGGTAAACAACAACAGCCGCAGCAGAGAGTGGAGGACGAGACCCAACGAAGATCGATCGCTGTCCTGCCATACATCAAAGGGGTTACTGACAAAATCGGCCGAATATTACGGAAACACGACATATCAACGGCATACAAACCTGATCATACCATCGGAGCAATACTAAGAAACCCAAAACAAAAAATCACTCTGGAAAACCAAGGAGTATACAGTGTAGCATGCGGATCGTGCAGCCTAACGTATGTGGGACAGACCAACAGAAGGATTTCAGCCAGGCTCGAGGAACATCGTTTAGCCATAAGAAACAAACAAACAACATCTGCTTTGTTTCAGCACCAACATCAGACAGGCCATAAAATTGATTTCGGTACTTGCAAACAAATAGCTAATATTCCTGATTTTAGGACTAGGATTATACGAGAGGCCATCGAGATAGAAAAGTCCGGATACCTGAATACGAGAGACGACGCTCTGCATTTATCCAATACTTGGAGAACGATAATCAAACAACAGAGCGATACGCAGCAGCCAACGGGGACATCGCAACTACGTTCGGGCGAACTTAACAACGCGAGGGGCGGAGCCACCTACCCTCCCGCACAAGCAGCACCGTTACCATATATATATATATATATATATATATATATATATATATATATATATATATATATATATATATATATATATATATATATATATATATATATATATATATATATATATATATACATAAAGTAAAGAATCGTCATCAAGCGCAATATATTTTATTGTTGTTGGAATTATATGAAATAATCGTGTTCGATTGTCCAAAATTGGAATAGGTAAAACACGATACAATTCTTAAATTACTTTCTTCATGGTAGAAGATGCCTACTGTATTATTTACTGGAGTAATGAGGAATTGGGGTGCGACCGTAGAGATCGGTCCAAAGATCCTGAAAGAAATTTAATCTAATCGTAATAAGGTTTCAACTTGTCAAAATTGAATTTTGAAATTCCTTCGGTAGCTAAATTTTTGACAGTGGCTGAAGTTTCAAATACTTCAAGAATTTCATACGGACCGTTAAATTTATTCTGAGCTTTATCGCTAATTTGAGTTTCCTTAACATAAACTTTATCTCCTACATTATATTTAGTCATATTTCTAGAGATTGCTTGATCAAATCTTATTTTGGATTTTTCTTTTTGTTGATCGGTGCGGGTACGCGCGACTCTGTAATAATGCTGCATGCGATTGTTTAAATCTCGGATGTATTTGGTGATGAGTTGTTCTTCATTATACAGAATTTCTGGAGGCCTACTAGAAGTGTGCCCAAATATTAGTTCATAAGGGGAAAAACCATGCGTTTTATTCTTTGTGTTGTTGTAGCAGATTATTGCGTATGGAAGAGCATGAAGGGGGTGTTCTTTTGGATTTTCGGCTTTATGAGCTCGGATCATTTCTGTGAGCGTGGCATGGAATCTTTCTAGTGATCCATTAGATTGTGGGTGGCTAACGCTGAAGAAAGTTAACTTTATATCGTACAAAAGACAAAGATCTTTGACGAGGGAGTTATCAAATTCTCGGCCATGGTCACAATGTATTCTAAGAGGAGTTCCAAAATGTTGGAAGTAGAGAAGAAGGGTAGTTACGATTGTTGAAGCTTTTTTATCTTTTATTGGATATGCCTGGGTGAATTTTGTGAGTTCATCTCTTATGGTAAGGGCGTAATTTCGAACTGGGAATTCGAAAATACCGATGTTAATGCGCTCAAAAGGAGTTTTAGGAGTTTCTGTGATAACTAATGGTGTGCTGAGGTTTTTACGATAGATCTTGACTTTTTGACATATTTCGCACTTTCTAATATAGTTTTCGACATCTTTGGTAAAGGTTGGCCAATTGTGTTTTTGTTTTATTCGCTTAACAGTTTCGTTGATTCCGCGATGTAAATTATTTTTTCCTGAATGGTATTGGTCTAAAATGATAGGGATTTCGTCTTGATCGGGAGTTCGAACTATATCTTGACAGATTATTAGTTTTATATCCTTTTCGGAAAATATAAAGGAGAATACTTCTAATATCGGAAGTTGTAAATTATTTTGAATACAATATAGTTTTGAAAGATCAAAGTTATTTTTTGCTGTGAATAAAATGTAGAATAAATGTTTAACTACAGTTTCATTGTCATATGGAAGAGGGATTATATAATATTTCCTGCCTTTGACGGTTTTGCTAGAAAAAACGTTAATTTTGTTAAATGTAAAATTTATATCTTCTTCAAAAATATCGTCCATTATTTTGTTATGCCAATCATCAAGTTTTGATTGCCAAAAGAAAGTGGCAATATCTTTGTGGTTTTTGTCGAGAAGTTGCGAATTAGAGGTTTCTATTGTGGAATAATCTATAAGGGATGTGGTTTTGTGAAGGTATGCGAAGTTGTTGTATTCTTCTGTACCTTCCGCTGTGTCGTCTTCGATATCTGAATTATTAGAATTGTCATCGTGAACGATTTTTCCTTTACTTGTGGATGGTCGATGATCGACACAATCTTGAATATGGTTAATTCTAACACGGGATAGAGCGTCTGCGTTCTTATTTATTTTACCGGGCTTATACACAATGGTATAGTCGTATTCTTCAAGCTTAAGACGCCATCGAGCTAAACGACTACCAGGATCATTTATCGAAAATAGTCAAGTTAAAGGACGATGATCAGTAACGAGAATAAATTTTCTTCCGAACAGATAAGGGCGAAAGTGCTTGACTGCCCATACTATGGCGAGAAGTTTCCGTTCTATAGTTGAATATTTTGTCTCCGCACTACATAGAGTTCTAGAGGCATATGCTATGGGAAGCTCTTTTCCAATTGGACCTTGTGAAAGAACTGCACCAATGGCAAATGCACTGGCATCGGTGGTTAGGACAAAAGTTTCCTCGAAATTTGGATAAATGAGTATTGGGTCACGTATTAAAGCGTTTTTAAGTTCATTAAATGAATTTTTGCATTCTGAATTGAATACAAAGGGTGTGTCTTTTTGGAGAAGTCTAGTTAGAGGTTTTGAGATCTTAGCAAAATTGGGGATAAAACGTCGGTAGTAACCGGCTAAACCAAGGAAGGATTTAATGTCTTTTGGTGATTTTGGTTCTGAAATTTTTTGAATAGCGTCTATTTTGTCGGGATTAGGTTTGACTCCATCTGGGGTCGCGAGATGCCCTAAGTGAGCTACTTCCTTTCGAAGAAATTCACACTTGTCAGGTTGGAGTTTGAGGTTTGCACCACGAAGGCGTTTGAAGACATCAGTTAACCTTTGTGTATGTTCGTGTGTGGTAGCGGAATAAACGATAATATCGTCCATGTAAACGAGACATCGTTCGTTTTGAAGACCTAAGAGAATGTTGTCCATGACACGTTGGAAAGTGGATGGAGAATTTTTTAGTCCGAAGGATAAACGGGGAAATTCAAAATGACCATTTTCAACTGAAAATGCAGTTTTAGCAACGTCCTTGGGATCAATTTCAATTTAGTGAAACCCAGAGGCTAGGTCCAAAGTAGTGAAATATTGACATGTGCCTAACTGATCTGAGAGATTGGAAATATTGGGAAGAGGGTATTTATCATCGACAGAGACTTCATTTAGTTTGCGATAGTCGATGACTACGCGCCATTTTTGTTTCATAGAAGCGTCTAATTTTTTTGGGACAACCCAAACAGGGGAAGACCATGGAGAGGTGGAAGGTCGAATGATTCCTTTTTCGAGCATTTTGTTGATTTGTGATTTTACTTCTTGTTTGTGGACATGTGGGTACCTATATGATTTTGTAAAAATCGGTCTGGCGTTGTTCGTTTCAATAGTATGTTTAATTTCATTAGTAAAACTTAAATGATCTCCTTCTAAATAGAATATATCAGAAAAATCAAGACATAATTGTGTTATTAATTCTTTTTCTTCTTCGTTTAAATGATCGGTGCGTAACTGGGATTGAATTATACCGCGCCTATCAACAGGTTGAGAATTTAAATTGAAAAAATTACTTATTTCTTTTTCGTTAAGATTTGTATTAAAAGGTTCGATAGATAAATTTGAAAAATCTATAGTTTTTGGGATAGCATTAGCGTTAATAACAGTAGTAAAAAATTCGCCTTTGTTATTTACTTTAACTAAAGCATTAGGTAACCTAACTTTTTCGCATTCTTGAGAGTGGAGAATAGCGTCTGTGTTTGTTAAATTACATTTTAATTTGAAATTCTTTCGGTCCTAGGTTCGATTGAAATTCGATTTTGAATATTTTGTTCAGGATTTTTACAAATTTTGGTTAGTTATATTCACATGCATTTTAGGTTTGATACTCGATTCCAAGTTGCAATTGAAGGATCCCATCACACCAAAATTAAGAACAGCAGTAAGCTTCTTTGACACAACAATGCCAATATTATTATTATAATTATTATTATTATTATTATTATAGCGTGCACGGTCGGTTGATAGTAGTCAATTTTTATTGAGATCAATATCGTTTTACAAAGTAAAAATCTAGCCGACTGTGCGGTTGGAGGCTCTTTAGGTATAGTTATTAAATTATGGCTGATCAAAGCAATGCTAAACCTTGTAAAAGGTGCAAGGGTGTGGCAGGTACTGGTCTATGTATCAAATGCGGCACGATATCGCATAAATCGTGTGAAAATCATGAAAAACACGAAAATTTTGGGAGGCGACAAGATTGATTGCTGTTCCTACGGAGGCAAATTATTGGAGTCGGGTCCAATTCCTGATGATTCGGGAGCAAACGCTCCATTTGATGCCGCAAAAGAAATCATGTATTTGAAAGAACTTTTGAAGCAAAAAGATCTTGTTATCGAGAATCAAGCCATAGCAATTACCGCTCTAAAAGAACAGTTGAGCCTACTAAAAAGCAGCAGACTCTTTGAAGAGCAAACTCTGGATTCTGCAAATAGGGCTAAATCATCACAGACAGATCCAATTAAGCAAAACGCCCCCAAGTCGGAACACCTGAATAAATTTACAAATAAAGAACTGTCTAGTGCAGTCAGTGAGGCTGTGTCACGTCAGATATGCTCTGAAATAATAGAACTGGATGGTGGCTCCAAACGCAAAACTTCCAGAGTCCTAAACGATAGGGTCAAGCCGCTTAAAGGATGTCTTAGCGATAACTCTAAATGAACACTTCGAGTTGCTGAACGAAAAAATCAGTTTTCACATTACTAAACTGCATCCGAATACCAAAGTTGAGGAAGTCCAACAATATCTAGCACCGATAGTTAGTGGAGTAGAAGTGTTCCAGGTCCCATCAATGTATCCTGAGAGTTACTCCTCGTTTAGGGTATTGGCCATGGATCACGAAGCGCAAAAAATTCTGGATACTTCCATCTGGCCAACGGGTGTGTTGATAAATCATTTTTTCCCCAGGCGTCTAACAAGAGAAAAGCCCGATCCAATTCCAGTATCAACAGAGAGACAGACGTCTAGTGAGGCAGAATCCCGACCCAAGACCAACGATGGAGGTAAGAACAGCATTAATGTCTTGAGCTACAATGTGCAGGGTCTCCTAAGTAAACTCGATGTGGTTACTGAATATCTAAATTCTATTGGTTTTGACATTGTGTGTTTCTGTGAACATTTTGTAAATGGTGAGGAGTTGCTTAATATTATTAAGGTTCACAATTATAAATTAGTTGGATATTATTGTCGTCTCAGTACCTCCAGAGGAGGAACTGCTATATATGTTAAAAATAATATTGCCTGTAGCAGTCTTAATCTGAATAAATATTGTCTGGATCTTCACGCAGAGTTTTGTGATGTGGAGGTAATAGTGCTTAATCTTCTTATTTTAGTCAACGTCTATCGCTCTGACTCTAGAGGCAATTTTTCTATATTTGTAGAAAAACTTGAACTCTTGTTCGCTGAAATGTATTCAACTAAGAAACGCATTATTATTGCTGGCGATTTTAATGTTAAGTTTAATTTGAGTGATGACGTTGATCGAAATGACTTACTGAACATGTTATCCTCTTTTAGAATGCATGGAACCATTTCAGAAAACACTGGAATTACTTACCATTCAGCAAATTGCATTGACAACATTATGGTAAATTTTTGTGACACCTTTTACAGCGCTGGTAATGTTGAGCCTGGTTTTTCCGACCATGAAGGTGTTTTCATTAATGTGAAAACTGATTTTAGGTTGAAAGAAGATCCCTATGCGTATTTAAAGATATCCTCTACCAGTAAATCTTTCTTTTTGGGTCCGGTTTCAGAAAGCGAAATACATGAAACTATCATGAGTCTGACCAATTCAAATTCTACTGACTGCTTCGGCAGAAATTCAAAAATACTGAAACACATCATAGAGCACATTGTGGGCCCTCTGACGGCTTTAACTAATGCAGTGTTCTCAAGTGGCGAATTTCCATCGCAGCTGAAACTAAAATAATTCCTGTTTATAAAAAAGGAGACAATAACATTCCGAATAACTTTAGGCCCATTGCAATCATCCCTATCTTTGGCAAAGTGATCGAAAAAGCCTTAAAAACCCGCCTTTCACGATTTTTTGATAATCACAAACTTCTGAGCGGCTCTCAGTTCGGCTTTCGTGAAAAGAAATCCACAACCCATGCGCTCATAGAATTTGTGAGCAGGGTGGTCCAGGGGTATGATGATGGTGAGATTTCGAAGGCCCTGTTGTATGATCTTACGAAGGCTTTTGACTGTGTTGACTACGTCGTACTATTGAATAAATTAGAGTTTTACGGCGTCAGGGGTAACCCTCTACAATTAATACAGTCATATCTAGACAGCAGGTTTCAGTACGTTGAGAGTGGCGGCGTGTCAAGCGATAGCGTTCTCCCAGTAGTCTCCGGCGTGCCTCAGTGCTCGGTACTGGGGCCTCTGCTCTTCATTATTTACATAAATGATCTGCCGCTGTCCATACCCAATGCAAACGTGACCCAGTTCGCAGATGACACTGCCGTTCTTTCAAAGGCTAGGAATCATAAAATGCTTACTGAAAACGTTGATGAGACTGTGAGGGCCCTTCAGCAGTGGTTCTCTGCAAACAATCTAGTCCTTAACCAACAAAAAACTCAAGAACTCACTTTCTCTTGTAGCAAAGTAGAGTTTCTTCATCAAGACAATATTACTCTACTGGGATTCATTATTGACAGAAATCTGTCATGGACCGGCCAAATCGACGAAGTCTGCGCCACACTGTCCCGGCGTTTGTTCCTGTTACGGCATCTCAGCCACTGTTTAACAAAATTGGCCCTAAGAACGGCCTACCTCGGAATACTGCATAGTGTGTTGTCTTGCGGTGTTGTGTTGTGGGGTGGGGTAAAATACTCGGAAAAAGCTTTTCGTTTGCAAAAGAAGGTCATGCGACTACTTAGCGGCGCTGGTCCGCGTGAACACTGCAGACCCATCTTCGCGGATATGAATATTATGACGCTGCCCTGTACCTACATCGACAGATCTGTTTTATACATTCATGATAATGCTGATTCTTATCGCACACTAACTAGTAGACATGAGTATAACACCAGGCAAAGTGATTCGATCGCCCTACCGTACTTCAGACTGACGTCCTCGCAAACTAATAAAATCAATGTTAAATTATACAATGTTCTGCCGAGTAGCCTTAAAAATCTACCAACCAGACAATTTAAGCAGAAAATGAAAATTTTCTTTTAAGAGAATCCCTTTTATGGCAGCGATGAATATTTTGAGCTGCTTAAGCATACGAATATTTAATAATTTGTGACTTTGTTATCTATATGTTTACTTTTCACTTTATGTATTATTTACATCTTATCTATTATCTTGAAGTATTTTGTATAATTTAGTGCAATTTGTGTGTACTTTATTAATGTTTATATATATATATATATATATATATATATATATATATATATATATATATATATATATATATATATATATATATATATATATATATATATATATATATATATATATATATATATATATATATATATATATATATATATATATGTATATATATATATATATATATATATATATATATATATATATATATATATATATATATATTCCCACTGAGGTAACCAATGTAATTGCCATACTCTTGAGGTACCATTTGTTGTTCTTGTGACTTATCTGAATGGTTAATAAAGTTCTATTCTATTCTATTCTATTATTATTATTGCATGGCCTCAAAACTTTTCTTATACAAAAAAGAGCAAAACGTGTGATTGTGAATGCAAAACCTTGTGTCGTCCGCTTATCGCAAAGCTTAATATTTTGATCATACCATCACAGTCACTCGCATACATAAGTTAAAGAACGATATGCCTAAGCATTGTGATCGCCACAATCACTACACCAGAGAATTTGAATTAATTGTCCAGACCCATTGTAGGCTGCGCTCATTCGAGTTAAATAAATTGTACATTAATTATTACAATGTTCTGCCAGCTGTTGTCAAGGCTATCATACACTACACTTTGTAAAATAATAAAACAATTTCTATTGGAGAATGCATTCTATACTGCAGATGAGCACATCCGTGCATAATACTAATTGGCATTTTTGTAGCTAATTCTTGTTTCAATGTTTACTATTACTGATAATTGTGTTGCTCTCCATGAATGTTATTAGAATGTTGATCTTGCGTTAATTTATTTTCATTAACAGATGTGACTTGCCACTTATTATTAATATTACTATTGTTGTTATTATTATTATTATTGTTTTTTTTACTATTGTATTGACTACTTTTAGATTATTATGTTGAACTAAGTTTTATTAGGTAAGTTTTATTAGTTAAAACAGAACTTGTCTTGCGGAAGAATCTGGTACACAGGCGTTTATTTATCGAACTTGCGGAATCTGAACCATACACATGTTTTTGTATTTTGTGTTTATACGATAAATAATAAACGTTATTATTACTATTAATATTATTATCGTTTGGTTTACTGTAATTATTGCAACTTTCTTTATGGTCTTTATCTTTGCAACAAAAATTAAATGGAAATAAATCAGCAGCAATTATCCTTTCCCAGTCGAATTCGAATGTATCTATAAATAATTCAAATGTCAATTATTCACGTGAAGCTAAACCACGGTTAAGGTCGTAAAAATAGGTCAGGAAGTATAAAAATAAACATTTATTGCAACGTTCTTCATAGTCCTCGCCATTGAAATAAAAATTAAATGCAAGTAAAACTTCATTCAAATATTCAAATTCAAATATTTCTATAGATAACCAAAATGACAATTATTTATGTAAAACTAAATAACGGTTGAAGTTCTAAAACCAATTTAGGAAGTAGATACTTAAAAAACAACTGTGTAAAACTAACATCTCCGATTACTGTAATTATTATGCAACTTTCATTATGGTTCTAGTTCCGATGTGTTGGGTAAAAACATTAGAAGTAGTTTAAATCCTTTTAGTATTCTGTGGAAATATTTACATTTTGTACATACTGACCAACCAGCTTGCTGAATTTCGGAAAATTGTGGTATATTTCAAAATATATTCAGTAAAATATATTTATTTATTGAAAATTAGTCTCATTCGATGTAAATTCGCCCCTAAAATCATTTTGGCAATTTTAATTTTTCAGGATGCTTACAACAAATTAATTATTATTAATTTCAAATAATAAAACGATGTTTCTTGGTGATTTGAACGCATTTCATTATGTTTCTTTTATGTGGTAATACTAGATGAGTTACTTAAAGATTACAAAATATACAACTTTGTGAAGGATGTGCATTTTTCAGCCATTGCATCTCGATGTACAGCTAACAATTTTTTGGCAAATAATTTGGAAAATATGAGAAGTCTTGCAAAAATTTTCACGATGTTTTTTGATACATTATTACGTTAAGACTAGAGGACGGTCAAAGTGTTACTAATAAATTAAGATATTCTAATGTATGCACCAATTAATAAAATGACGTAACGGAAGCAGTTTGCTTTTTTAATGAATGCTTCTAATTTTCAAAAAACAAACTTAAACTTATAGACAAAGATAAATAAACTTATTACAGTTATATCGTCTTCTAAGCTGTAAAGCTTAATAATTTTTTTTTATAAATTTTAAATAAAATGCTTTGGTTTTCAAATTCCATAAACCCCTTTTTGCACGCCTCTATTTCAGATCAATTTGTTAACAAGCTATTACGTGATCCAGCTTAGAAGGCACCAATAAGAAGCTGGGAGGAAAGAATCTATGAATTACTGAGGAGATACTTTTTATCAAGTCGTGTAGATTACTATTGGCATTGTGACAAGTGTAATAAAAGATTAATGGTCTTATTGACCACTTAACAATGGGACTTTCGGCTTAATATTGAAACAAATAATAAACACTCACACCCTGCATAACGAGAAGGTGTTCAAGAAAAAAATCAGCCCCCTTGTACCCCCTATACTTTCGAAAATCGATTTCATCGATTTTCGAAAGTATCTGCGCTCGTATAAAAATTTTATATCTCGGTAACGGTAGGTCCTATGGGATCGCCGTTGGTACAGAAAAAATCAGAAAAAAGAAATTTTTTTTGTCTGTCCGTTCTCCGTTCTCCATTCTCGTCTTTGGGTTTTTCCTGAATAACTTTCGAACCTTTTGAGCTACAAAATTGAAATTTGAATCTTTTTTAACCCTCCACGAGACACATAAGCTTGTAAGAAATTGCCCTGATCCGATGCCGGTATCTATATTTTTTTCGCGATTTTCGACTGTTTTTTGGACCTTGCTATGAAATATGATAAATGTACGAAATTTGAAGCAATAGACTTCATATTTGGCACATATATTGAAAATGGGGGTGCTGCGGGTCGTGTAGTATTTTAAAAAACTAAAAAATCACGCGTGTAAGGGTCCACATAAAACATCATTTTTCAAAAACTGTTTACTAAACCAAAAAAATTCTTGAACCAGAAGAAGCAGAAGATAGTGACAATTTTCCAAGAATATACAGGGTGCGCCGCAAATTCAAGAAAACTGAAAAATGGGTGTCCCTTTTATTAAAAATTGGCAATAATTTCATATTTGTGTTTTAGATGTCATTTTCTTTTACATGGCGATATAGCCCATATAGACAGCTTAAACTTTTGAATTTACGGTTTTTAAGTATTGTACAGGGTGTTCGCGACATTCCGTGCAATATTAAAAAAACATAATAAGTACTCCAAATTTGTAGCTACCGACTTCAGACTTGGGAGAGATGTAGAAGTCTCGACCCGCATTTAGGCTCTTTTAAATTGGGAGCAATAAAAAAACGCGAAGTATTTTTTTATTTTTTTTTGTGGGTATTTTGGCATCCAGTAAAACATCTTTTCCTCCAAAGCCATTCATCCGATCGGAAAAATTGTACATCCGTAATACGTGGGAGGCCCGGTGCTATAACTTTTGTTTCACGCATTTTTTTGATTATATACAAGATGTTTTAGTTATGGGCAAAAATCTAAAAGACCCTGAAAATTGTTCTTTTAGAGAGTAAATTATTAACCGTAAATCAAAATTAATACAAACAACAGCTAATCCGTGTTATAGGCCGTATCAAGGGCTACAATTTTTGTATTTACGGTTTTCGTCTATCACATACGCTGTTCGAGATATTTGAAAAAATTCAAATGAAAATCACCATTTCTCGCCCTCAATCTAGACGCGATTACGTCATTTACAATTACCACGTACTGCATGGATTCAGAAAACCAGCAGTTTTTTGAAAACCATTTACTCCGTTGCAAAAATTCGGATACCAGGAAACTAAGGAGATCCAGAGCTATATCCTCTATTTCGAACATTGTTGGAATTATATACAGGGTACGTCGTTTGTGGGCAAAAATTCTAATAGATCCTAGAAATTTTCGTTTTTGTGGGAGAATTATTGGCGATACATGAAAAACTTTTCAAGATGTGATAATTTGATACGAACGGTATCGTAAACTGCGTTGAGACGGAGTTTGAGGTTTCGTCTATAACAAGGCACGCAAGATATTTGAAAAAATATAATTTTAAATTGCAATTACCAGCACAAATTTTAATATTTACCAAAGTTTGCCGTAACGTTGAAGTTCGACGAGATGTGAAGGACGCTTTATACAGGGTGCATGCACAATTAAATTACCTCGATTTTGCGAAAGTTCCATAGTGGTACGCAGGAGCATGATAGAAAAATATTGCGTCCCTATACAAGAATCCGGGAAGCGCCTTCTTTTTAAAATAAAAAGCTGATTCGCGCTATTCGCTACCAACTTGCCCCGCTCACCGACGATTTTTCGAAAGCATCTTGTTCTAGCTACAGAGCTATATAGTTATAGCTAATCAAAATTATTCAAGTTCTTGATTGTCCACATTCAGTTTAAAAAAAAATTGATCACTAATTAGTAATGTCAACGTTTTACTTAATTGAATGGGTGAACATAAATCTCATATTAATACAATTTAATCCGAAATTAATTAAAATGATTTACTAACATAATGGACAATATCCAGAAGAGTAAGTCGTATAACAACTCATATTATACAACGCGCATAAAGACCAAAATTAATTGGTGAATTTCTAGGAAAGCGACCGCGCCTCCGGTCGGCGGGTCAAAAACAGCTGCACGATATATATTATTATTCTGGCCTTTGATAGGTTTGTAAATTCAGAGTTTAACAAATCGTCTAGTGTTTGGTTTGGAAAGTCCTGCCGGTCATATTTTAATGATGTAGCGGATATGTATGAATTTCCGCCCGCCGTAACAGACGATTTATATAGCCTGGCGCTGTTTAATACCCTATCGCGCGACAGTAAACGCTTATATTTAGCAGTTAAATACGAGATACACATTAAAACATCAGAAAATATATTTTTTATAATTTTACATTAAATTGTCATTTAAAATTAAAAAATTACTCTATTTCTGGATTGTGTGTTCAATTACAGGTTTTCGTAGGCAACGTAGTACAGTAAATGCGAATATTGTACATCACTTATTAAATTCGCATTGCGCCATCTTTCGGCGTAATGGAAAAACAAACCCGAGTCTCGAGCCTTGTGATAACGGCGTTCTGTAACTGTGCGTCGCCATCTCTTACGCACACTGCTAAATACTTATGTAGGGTTCTTTAAAGGGTTAAACATCTTTAATAGCTGGAACGAAAACCGGGTTAACGCTAAAACCCTGCGGCATAAAATATAAATTTTTGAAGGTCCAGTTCACGAAAGTTTAAATTTCTGGAAATTTACCGTTATTGCCACTTTGGCTTCGGGTCGTCAATTCGGCAACACTGCGTCGGCGCTACCCTAGTTCTCAAACTGTGGCGTTGTGTTGCGCAACTGTCGTTTCTCGAATGAAGTAAATAAAAAATCTGAAATCTGTTCGGATGTAGCCTACGAAATAGAACAGCAAATCTCGATAATGTGCAGTGAGATCGGATCTTTCGGTGTACCAAAAGAGTCCAGCGTAAAAACGTGAAAATGTGTTTTATAGATCAGCTGGAAGCCATTTTGTTAATTACATTGACATAAACATGGAAACAGACTTCTATTACTGGTGTTTGTTTAGTTATTTTAGTATTATTTTGATCTGATGATGCCCTTTTTTCGTTAACGAGTAAGCATTTTGCGTTATTTTGAGTTTTGCTCGGTGAAAACCAAATGAATTCCTTTGGTAGAAAGCTTGGGGAACATGGCGCATGTATTGTTGGTGTTTGAGATTTAGCGCCAACTTTAAAATCGGCAGAATTTTAATGTCCTCCGTTTTATTTTCAATCGATTTTTGAGATATTGCGGCACATAGTATCAATTTTTTAAAAGAAATTCGTCACTGCATGTGTTTGAATTGTGTTTGTATTTTTAAGTTTTATTTGGAATGTAGTATTTAAAGTCATAACTACCTTCAGGGGAAGAGAAGTTTCCAAAGGTTATAGGATGTTGCCAGGTTTATTTGTTCTGTGAAATAGGAACTTGCGATCTTCATATTTAAAAGAAATACAAATAGTGAAAAACAGATGCCTTTAAAGATTCAATATTTTTCATTGATAACGCATAACCAAAATGTTACTACCGATGTTTTGAGGTTATGTATTGACTTTTCAATTGTTTGGTTGCTTAAAACAAGCTATCCTTCTAATATTATTCATATTTTAAATATATCTTTGAGGTACAACACGAAACAAATTTCCAATTAAATTGCATGGTAAACGATTTAAAACGATATTCTCCCTTCGGTAGACTAGCATCTTCTCTTTTTTTTATTGTTAGTGGAATTGTTTTAACATTTAGAATGGCAACAAATGATGGTGCTACGACCGAACTCTTCACGGGTTGGTCATCAGTTGTACATCAGCCAGAAGATGAGCCGGAGGAATCTGAACTGCCCTCTACAGTGGACATAGGAGTTTTGCATTCTGGACTCAGCGTTGAACCTACTAACAGTATCGGAAATGGTAACAACAGTGATTCAGATAGTGATTCGGAAGCTGATTCCAGTGTAAGTGTTCATTTCTATAGTAGTTTTATAAGGTGAGCGGGCCACGAAAGCAACTTCATTTGCAAAAGAAATAAAGAAAAAGTGAAAGCAAAAAAACTCCACATTGTGAATTCAGAAAGTTACGGCTTTCCAAAAGCTGCTTCCTCCTAGATTTTGTTTAATTTACAAAAATTAATGATCAGTTGCGTTGTGGATTCTGATCAAAACATTTTTAAAAAATTGACTGCTACTGGCATAATTCTTTGAAATTGATTTATTAGAAGAACCCTAATGATCGGATATTGTAAAAAGCAGCAGGGAAGATTTCATGTTGTTAGTTCAGCAATTATTTCTACTGAGTTGTTAGTTTTCCATATTCATCTTCATTGACCTTCAATGCCTTTTTATCATGGTGTGTGTGATTGTCCTGCCAGCAAGAGGATCTTTAATCTAAAAAGGAAAGCCATCAGGGTTATGCCAAACTTAAATTGCTCAGCGAAGTGCAAATAAAGTTTACTGTCCTAAAAAATGCTTAGTCTGTTCAGGAGTTTTTACTGTTATTTTAATAAATGTTTTAACTTATGGTTTACTGGATGTTTCATATTTGTTCACAAATTTGTATAAAATAATTGGTTTTGTTTATGTGGTGTCAAGATAGCACTCTTTTAGCAGTCTGTTAATCGCCTTCTTTTGAAGCCATAAAATTGCGTCAAAAGGCTATTTTACTTCACTGTTTGTAGGAAAATA